ACTTTTTTGCCCCTCACTAAAACCCCTCCAAGGACCCGCGCTAACAAAAACAGAATGGACTTCTATAGACAGGTTCGAAACTTACCCAATAGTAGCTAGCTGGCAATATTTACTAATGATATCTAGCATAAATTCATTTGCCAAATTTCTGGTCATTCTCAGTTAACATTCTTCGATGCACTTAAGAGTGAGGTACGGGAATTCTAAGGATCGCATCGCGCTAGTGAAGAGGAAAGGCTAACATATTATAAAGTTGGCAGGCGCACAGGAAGTCGAAGAGGCATTCCCAAATCCATTGAAGCAACCAGTTCTAAGACGTGTACAATTCTCAACTATTTCCCGAATCGATACCTTGGTGGACATTATTTTTGAAGAGTTCAGATCTGACTACTTCCCTGGCGAGGTCGTTACAGTCCATGTTGTTACAGGCGATCGACTTACTGGCACCGTTAGAGAAAAGACGCACTTCGGAAGCAAAGTTCTGCAGGATGGCACATTAACCGCACCTTTCTCGAGATACTTCGTTAGCCTGGATGGTCGACCAAATGAAGAAGCAGTGGTGGATGACCAGCATATTACTCGTGATCGCAAGATATTCACGAAGCAAGTTCTGCGATCTTTTATTAAAAAAACCGTTACGAGAGAGGCATGGACCGGCGCGCCTTGGCTGGTGAAGCACGACGTGGCTGCCATCTATAATATCGATACCAGAATTCCTCCACATCTTCGATATGAGAGTAAAGCTGCAGAAAGGAAACATAATCAATCTCAGAAAAAATCGGGAGGGACTGATTTTGATAATATGATTGGAAGCTTTCATGGAGGAAATGGACCACAAGCTAGACTCCCGGAGTTGAAGCCAGCACCCAAAAGCCATAAAAGCAAGCAGCAACAATCCCAACTAGCAAAGGGTAAGCAGCAGCCATTTTTAGAGCAAGCTCCTTTGAATTTCATCCCCGCACATTTCCCTCCCCATCAATTCTACCCCCAACCCCACCCCAATTACAATCCGCCACAAATTCCATTCAATTCTCACCCTCCTCCTCCTCATCCTTCTCATCCCCACCCCAATTATAATCCCCCTCCTCAAATTCCATTCAATCCTCATCCTCAAGCTCCTCCCTTCATGTCTCACACCTTTCAAGTCAATGGACAATCACAACAAGCGGGACCCCACTTCCAGAATTTTCACAACTCTAGCTTTGCGCTTGCGCCTCTTGCTTCGCTTCCTCCGGCTCCTCCCCCACCACCTCCTATCAAATACCCAATTGAAGATTTGGAAGTTCCTCCCCGAGTTGATGGACCGAAACGACCCGATATCAAATACTTTTCGCAAGATAATCCAATGATGATAGGAAAACCAAAGGCCGAGGGTAATGGCATTCACATGTCATCTATTGGCCAGTTACTAGAGACCTGGGACACCTTGAATGTTTACTGTCAAATCTTTAAATTGGACTCGTTCACTTTCGACGACTTCGTCGAAGCCTTACAATTTACATCTGAAGATGTAGACTGCGAACTGTTCGTCGAAATCCATTGTGCTGTTTTGAAAATCTTGGTCAATGCGGAAGCCGATGATGGAAAGCTACAAATTCAGTTACCGGAAATAGAGGAGTCAGACGACGAAGAAGAATCTGACGGTGAGGCCAGCGTTGCGCCATCACCTACACCAGAACCAGAGCCAAAACCTAGAGGGCGCGCTACTAGAAGTAGTCTCGCAAAAGCTGAGGCAGAGGCTTTACAAAAAGCCGCCGAACAACCTCCCGAAGAGCCCGCTGGACCAGTCAACACTCATCGTGCAGCGGAGATGGAAGACAGTCTTGAATGGATCGAGAAGCTAAGGAAACGTGATTTCAAGAACGGTGGCTGGGAAGCTATCATGGTCGGCCTCCTGTATCAACTTTCGAAAGATGAGAGGCACTTTGCCGCTTGTGAAGCACTCCTTGTTGAGCTCGCCCCACTCGACTCGGAGCCAACACAGGAAACTGCTCGCCTACAGTATGCCAAACTTGACGTCAACCTTCGCATCAAGGCGCTCCAAATTATTTGCATGCTTACTATGGAGACTAAGGCAATTCGTGGTTACATGGAAGAGAGTAGTGAACATATGACAGAGCTCCGAAAAGAAAAGATAAAGTATCAGCGTGATAAGAAGGATGCGTAAGTGATTCAATATCATCTCTGGGGAAAGTCACTAACTGTATTAGTCATGATGCTCTCAAGAAGCTCAACGAAACGCGCAAAGCACTTGAACCACCACCCGAACCAAGTCCTGCACCAGCTACAGAGAAGCCTGCAGAAAAAGAAGCTTCAGTCAGCGTTAACGGAGATGTAACCATGGTCGACGCCGAGGACGAGGTTCAAGACTCTCATGGAGATGAAATCATGGACTCGGATGCAGAGGCTCCTCCGACTCGATCATTACGCCGTGGATTAGATCGAGCAGCAGAGCGAAAGCGTAAGCGTGAGGCCGAACAGGAGAAGAAAGCAAAAGCAGAAGCTGAACCTAAGGCTCCTAAACAATCCAAGGCCCTCACAAAAGTTCTCAAAGACATCCAGAAATTGCATGATGAGATCAAGCATTGCGAGGAAGAAATTGCCATTCTTGATAATGACCTTCGAGAAGCTGATTGCCCTCGTACTCGTGTACTCGGTAAGGATCGATTCTGGAATCGCTATTATTGGTTTGAGCGTAATGGTATGCCATATAGCGGTCTTCCTACCAGCTCTACTGCTGATGCTGGATATGCCAATGGCTGTATCTGGATTCAAGGACCAGATGATCTTGAGCGTGAAGGTTATATCGAAATGCGACCTGAGTGGCAAGATGAGTATCGATTTAAATTCAACCTGACCGTACCGGAAAGAAAGGTTATGGAGGAAGGAAATACTCATGTATTCAATTCTCGTGAATGGGGATACTATGATGATCCTGAGTCAGTCGAGGGTCTACTCCATTGGCTTGATGCCCGTGGAAACAACGAGTTGAAACTTCGAAAAGAACTCCAACTTTATAAGGACAAGATCATTACTCACATGGAAAAGCGCAAGGAATATCTCAACCCTAGCGATGAAAAGAGTATCGATTCTAGCCACAAGCGAATGTCGACTCGTGGAAAACAACAACCCCATGTTGATCACACCGCTCATCGATGCTTATCCTGGCACAACAACACGGCAATGGAAGAATTGGGTCATTTACATTCGGATCAACCACGGAATCGTAAGCAAACTAAGAAAGCGGCTCCTATTTTACCACCAGCAGTTGAGGAAGAGAGACAAACTAGAAGCGAAGCGGCGAAGAGACAGAGAAAGCGTTGAATGATAAGTGTTTCACAGTTTAAGGATGTTAGATCATGAGCGCTCGCAAGACCTACTGCTACATTTTGTTCATGGCTATTTCACATAGAAAACCTTGAGCGCGCATGGAGTTCATTGGTTCTATGTATTTGAAATTAGCTTTTGGGGGAGTTTATGGATGGGGTTGTTGGCTTCAAAAACATATCTGAAGTTGGGAAATAAGGAAATCTCAAAAATTACGGAAGTGCATGCATATATGGTATTTTACAAAATGGATTGGCTTGTATTTAGACGGTTTGTGGTGAGGAAAGGCATTGCTTGCGTTGCATTTTGATGGTGTTGGGGAGTTGTATTTTGATGATTAGTTGGCACTGAGAGGGATAGGGAAGAGAGGAGAGATTGGAGCTGTGTTTGTATGGAATATTATGTACTGCAGGATTATGAGTGAGCGAAGAGAGCAGAAGAGAGCAGTAGTATAGTGAGTGATGCGAATACCCAAAATACATATGAATTTTTTGTGTGTAAAGGGTCTTTAATTCGTGTGTGTGCGATTCCGATTATGGTGATTTTGAGGAGCTCGAGAATGGATTTTTGTTATACTTCTTATTCCCCCAGCAACAAGGAGATATGACCGTGAGATCAATAAAGAGAAAAAAATAAAATAATAGCGAGGATGCAGAGAGCAGCAAAATCTTATGGAAACCGGTATTGAGAAGGATGATAAAAGGAATGATAATACAGAGCCTAGAAAATAGCAAAGAATTATTTCACTGCCTATCAACCAACTTTGTTCGAACATGATAATGTATGCCATCATCTTCGATTGCAAGGCACCGCTAGTCTATTCTTCATTGTTCAATCTATTCCAAGTAACTCTTTTATACCATACTCTATTAAGCATTTACTAATGCCCCATATTAAGAATCGCTGTTGTTCACTACAACGCTTTCCGAATTCTATATACCTACCTATGCAGAGCCGGCGCTAGCCGCGTATCAAGCATGGCCCTGTCAGAGGTTCCTCAAGAATGCTAACATTGGGATGTGTTAATATATATATATATATAATCTTGAGTTTCAAATGCGGTATATTCCAAAGTGCTTCATCTCCCTGTTCTGTCAAGCATGGACACCGACGCATTCTCATTCTTATCTCTGAGCACCAAGATACATTCCAAGATACAACCGACATGGATACGTGGTAGAGGCAGATAATTATGATACAATAGTGAGGATGAAGAAGAACGGCTGCTTCTGGAAGGAATTCTCAAGTTGTTGTTCCGTACAGAATGCAGACGACGATTCAGATGTCATATTCAACGAAACTCAAAATGTGAGGTTGGAAATTCTCATATCGACCGCTTTGAAATTTTCGTCATATTTATTATTATGTCTTGAGATCCATTAGAAATATATATATATATGTATTTCTCTTGTTTGTTTCGCAGGCTTTAAAGTTTAAGTGATAGAGTCTATATAAGTTATATTACTGTAATCAAATAAGATTAGTAATTTAGTCAATATGGCGAATCATTGTATTTGAAACTGGTTTTATTATGTTCTAATTTATAGATCACATATGCGATGCTTGATCCATTGTTAGTCGAACGTGAAGGCAGCGAGATTTTCATCATTGAGAGATGGAAACATTGTGCCCCAATTATCCGAAAACAATTCCAAAATATCTTCACCAGGTGACTGCATTTTATATTGCTTAGCTTCTAGTCGATCATGTGTAAAGATTGCGTGCATGTGGAACCGAGGGCTGCGCAACCGAAGGCGCCATGACGTCTGCCCCTAACAACGAGCCTGGAGATGCTGCTGAGTTTTTTACAGATTCAACGGTTGAACGGGCCAATCTCGCGATCTCCCGAATGAAAGGCAAAGCAGTGTCTGGAGATGCTAACTCCAAGCGGCTGAAGTGACCAGTGCAGATATCTAGTAGGGCCACATCAGACGATGTTGTTGGGAGAGCAGGATATTTCAGAATATAGATAAATATATTGATAGCGCTCACGAGAGGGAAATAGAATGCTAGCCTATACATGTTTTAATATAAGGCGTTCGAACATGTTCAGCCGCCAGCTGAGCGTGAATTGTGCTGAAAGACATACCATATAGGTGTCGATGCATCGACTTGAATTGCGTCGGTATCCAGTATTATTGCCCTGGCCGCATTGACAACAGCATGTGAACTTATCGAAATCCGACTTCGCAGTGCTGAAGACTGACCAGATCCAAACAGAGAGCTGTTCCAGGGGTGCGTGAGAATTGAATGAATTGCCATGATGCTGCCATAATAAGCATAGCGAAGATACATGATATGGTAAGAGTTGTGGCCTCAGCTTATCGCACACCACCTTATTTCGTGACAAAATCCCTGCAAAAAAGCTGTTTTTTCATATAAATTAATTTCTTTAATTATTTCATTAAATATTGAATTATTGATTTGAAAATTTGATATATAAAAGATATTAGTATTTTAAATCTAAAAAAATAAATAGAATATTTTTAATAATTTTTTTGGAAAAATTGTTGATTTTTAAAATTGAAATTTTTCAAAAATTATTATATATAACACTTTTACTATACAAAAAAATCGATTTTTTTGAAATTTTTGAAAGTTTTGATTTCAAAGATCTACAATTTCTTTAAAAAAATTATTAAAAATATTCTATTCATTTTTTTAAATTATTTTATTAAATTATTATTATAAATATCTATTCAAAAAATTAATTTTATTTTTTGATTGAAATAATATATAATTCAAAAGTTGAAGAAATAAGAGTTTTTAGTGTGTTTTCGCTTAGTGTGCGATAAGCTGAGGCTACAACTCTTACATATTGATATATTCTGAGCGTTTTCCATGTCTAGTAGTGGGCGCATCTGGCTGTAAGAATTGTGGCAGAGTGTCCCGCCATTCTTGGAGCTCTTTGTTGAGTTCGTGTATCACTTCTAGAGTTTTTGAGTTTGTTTGACGGAATGACCTTCCACTTGTTAGTTGCTTTGCGATTCGAGAGGAAATTTGAGCATGCTGTATTATGTAAATGAAAGGATCGATGTACGTGGTATTGTTAGCAAGCTGAGTGCTCGGAAAGGGGCAACTAATGTCGTCGTCTTCAATGATCTACACCAGTTATTAAGTCTTCAATTCTGAAAGTGCTAGCTCATCAACAATAGACTCACCGATGGTCGGCCTGATCTGTAGCTTATATGCTTCTCGAGGATATAAAGGGTCCAGAACAGTCTAACTCGATGCTGTTGTTTAGCTAGTGGCAAATTCCAAGATTGTGCAGGTTGCCTGTGGAGACCTTTCGCCTGAGCTAACCGCGTTGCACAGGAAACAAGCATGTACGCAAGAGAGGGGCCGGCAAGGCCTTCAGCAAAGAATCCCTGTCAATGAAAATTCTGTCAGATCAAAGATGAACTGCCGGTGGCATGGGAAAATCGAACCATTGCAGTCAATGCTTGCACTGCCATAAGACCCGTGCTTCCATATAAAAGCTCGGTATGGACATCCAAGGCTTTTTCAAAGTATCGCCAAGCTTGCCCCTGAATTTCGCCAGACATATTCGAGTACGGCATATTAGATGAGCCGAGTCTGTAACAAGAAGCATAAACTGTGTTTCGCAGAGCATACCAAGCTGGGTCATCATCAGCCATATCTTTTTGAGCAAAGTGATAGCGAAGACGTGCTTCAAAGTGCTCTTTAGACACCAGACCAAGGCTAGCATCGAAAAAATGATCAAATTATGCTACGTATTGATCACTGTCGCACCCAGTGTAGTGATTGGGGTGTCTTCGGCAATAGGTAGCAGCTGGACGTGCTTGCCAGTGGTTTTCTACGTCAAAACAGAACATTAGCCAAATGACGTATCGATTGATAGTGGAACGAGAACATTCGACTCACGAATAGGGTAGGTGTGAACATGGGCATAAGAATATTTGTGGCGTAGTAGGTGATGAAAAGGAAAGTCGTCTTAGCCAGCAATGCCTTGTACTGACGAATGTACTCATCGACCTTGGTCTTGCTTTCAAAGTGAGGCACAGAGCATTTTCCGTTGGAGATCTTCTGGTTGTCAGGGAGTGTGCTCCAGATGTAGTGCTCAAGAGTGGTGGTTTTGGAAGCAGCCTTTGCGCAGTTGATACCCTGAGTAGACTCAATAGCAACAGTCTCTTCGGCATCTTTGGTAGCGAAGGAGGCGAAGAAGTCGGTGACAACGAAGATGGCATAAGAACCCTGTTTCAATTAGCGCATGGTAGTATTAGCTATTCGCCCCCGTTGGGCTTCGAAATCACTTACCTCAAATGCTTTGACAAGGCTTGCCAAATCACTAGTGTCCGCAACCACAGAGCCACCTTGCGCTCCAGTAGCACCGACAACATTGAGAATCTTGGACATTTCAAGATATAGAATATAAAGATTATTGAAGGTAGAATTTAATACTATGAGAATCAATGGGATCAATGTGAATGGAATGCTAGACTATAATGCCGAACACACGCATTTTATATCTCATGAGTCGGCATATGTTCAATATTTCGGATTACATCATGTCGTACTGATCAATGGACAACCAGCTTCGACGACATAGGTAGATCTACAACTTCGAGATCTTACCGTTGATGATGGTGTGCGCTAAGCCTAATTGGCTCGGGACTCGGGACTATAAGGTCAACCATGTCCGAAATGCCGGACTCCACAGTTAGGTTTCGTGAGATGCATTTTCCATCCATACTGTACTTTCTTCCTGTTTTCGCCACTTCTTTCCAGAGATTATACTATTCCCAGGCTGCTTGCGTCTGTAAATACTCATGCACAACTTCCGTCGGAATGCAGAAGTATAGATCGATCAACAAACTTGTCACATGGTATAGCCTTCGAAGTAATGAAACCATTCTTATGGGATCCTTCTTCGGCAGCCAATAGTTTCTTGCCATCGCTACTTAGAACAACACCTGGATGGATATAATCTTTAACATTTATGTAGGGTGAGATCTACACTCCAGCCCAGTCATCCTCTCTATAAAAATTTCACCCGAGTACACGTTTTCGTGAGTCGAATATTTCGCATTCCATATTGACTTCAATCTTGTAACGCCGTCCTACTTGTGAATTTTAGGGCTATGGCACCTGCACGTTTAACATGACCTCTGCGGCAGAGACTTCAGAATATATTCCCGAAAGCTTCAGTTTGATAAATTATTCAATGAGAGGTGCGTGGAAGCCCGAAGCTTGACTGTTTCTGAGGAGATTGACTAATGTAATTGTAAAATGTATTTACAATACTTCTAGCTCATAAGGGCCGAAGCTATCTGGTATGTATGCAGTTTCAGTCCACCTCGAAGAAAACTAAATTAGTCAGAGACTCGGAGCTAACAACTCCTCCTTTTGTAGTGCAAAATCCAGGGCATAGAAACAATATTTACCTACGGACACTGATTCTACGTAAATGTCATGGAACCACAAAATGTACTACATCGTGCATCGAAGAGTACTGAGAGTACGTACTAAAATGAGGGTCAATGAGGGGCAATTCTAGTTTATGACTAGCTAGCAAATACTATTCCTCAGGTAGTTGACCCCTTTTTAGCATTTGAGAACCTTTGCAACCTTTTCTTTTGATCTTCAAGTTCTTCTGAAAATGAAAGCAAAGTGAAATTTCTGATTTGTTCAAGAAATCTCATCGCCCGGGGTCTCTCGGATTCAGCTCTAAATCTGCCTACAAATTTACTACTAGGTTCGCTAATGATAGTGATCCCGAGTCCGAACGAATTTGGAAAGGTCGCTAAATCACCTTTACTCTACTCGTAGTCCTAAGGAAAGCCATTATTGTAATAACTTAGAGCTGATTCATCCCCTTCTGATGATTCTCGATCCTTCTTAAGAATTATTGGTACTCTTGCTCTAGATTGGCATTGTGATAATTATCGGATTGTTACCTTAAAAATGACCGCCCAGTAGGGATTCTTGGCCTTTGCTCATCATCTATAATACTATACACATTCGCCTACACTGCTACAATAAAAATACTGCAACAAGTCTTTCATCTACACTACATCATCAACCGAACACATCATGATGGGGAGTCAACAAACTGGTTTTGAGGAAGCATTAACCCAGCTTCCTATACTTAATGCATCCGACTTCAAAGCTTATAATAGACTAGCAGACCACATGGATACATTCGTAAGGACTTGACTTGATCGATTCCCGCAGTCCAGCCAGAACAACACTGACAATCCTCCTCAGCACAACAATTTCCGCAGGATGTGGAATGAGATCTACAGCGTCTGCAGCGACAACAAACGCTCCAGCCACCAATCCATCCACGCATTCCTCAAGCTCGCCGAATCTTTCTGTACGCAACTCACCCTGCACCATACAATCGAAGAGCGACACTTTTCCCCCGAGCTGGCTGCGCGAATGCCAGAGTTTCGCGAGGAGCTTATCGGTCAGCATCGTGAGATTCATCACGGACTAGATAACATGCATCGATATGTGAAGAAGTGTCGCACTGGCGAGAGCGAGCTGCAGCTTTCGCATCTGAGAGGTTTGATGGAGAGTTTTGGGGAAGTGTTGTGGGCACATCTGGATGGTGAGGTTAGAGCTTTGGGGGCCGAGAATATGCGGAAGTATTGAAATGTGCAGGAGATGGCTGCATTGTATCATTAGATGTGCTGTCTGTCACTTGGTGATGCGGAGGAAGCTGATATGTGACACATCTGATTAGTGGAGAAGATGAAGCTGGTTGAAGTGGAATACATTTTTTGAGAAAGAAGCGGGGATGAATAAAGATAAGACGCATTAGAAGAGGAAGCACGAACAGCCAAGTAATATTCGAAGGTATACAACAGTAGTAGTTGCATAGACCTGTGGGTATCCATAGTATCAAATCCTCTCTAAATTTGCAGTGTGATTCTGATAACTAAGCTTATTTGAACCCCCCAGAAAGAAGGACATCATGATATTCTCAAAACATATAATACTTTTACTTAGTTTCTACACTATATACAAATTACAACGTGGGACGCTGAAAACTGCTATTTTCATGAATTTCCGAAAAGAATAACTTTTAGCGTAATTCAATAGTTTCTTCTTGAAGAGACCCCCACCAATCTGTATACCCAATATTGATATTGGGAGATTCACATCTAACAGGTATTAATCAATACTAATCATCCCACCAAAGAATTATAAACTCTCTCAAGCACTTCCTAATCAAGAGAGACAAGCCTTGGAAATTTTTGAGAACACATGTGCTTCCAAGGTTGAATTATATATATTAAGATTACTGCAAATATGAATAGATAGATGGGGCGCGCAATTCAATCAATACATCGGAGCAAAAACAAACCAGGGGAGAGATAGAATTGGTACTACGCCATCACATCATTTTATAAAATTTTGCTCAAATTTTTTTTAATTTAGTAAGAAGAATTAAACATCTAGGTAGGTAGTTTATTACAATTATAGAGATGTTTTATTAATTGAAATAAAAGCTAACAGGTAAAAGAGAAATGAGAAGGCTATAACATTATAAACATCTGTATAATATAATACTACATTATAATCATCATATCACCATCCAACTCTGACTTTCACTCTGCTAATAGAATCTTCACATTCATCCGTTACTATAATGAAGATATCTCCCTTCTCCCTAACCCATTTCCCTTACCCCGCATCTCGCACTCCGCATCCCGTATCCCGTACCCCATAAGAGGCACTTTTTGCGTTCATATCACATGTGAATTCGTGGATTTAGAGATCTGAAACTTGAGAGATCTGGGGATTTGGGGATCTAGATGCTAAAATAGATATGGTTGTAAATGTGTATGCGTATGTATAAGTTTTACCATGATAACAATGCTCTCTCGCAAGGCTCTTTTGCTTGTATAATTTGGGTAGATGTTTATACATCTGGATATCGAGATATTGGATTGAATGAGATGAATATTTTCTCGCTGAGTCCATCCAGCTGTCTAGCTGTCTAGATGTTCAAATATTGAAATACATGAGATGTGTTGCTGTAATAGAATTTGAACGCTTGAGAGAAAATTCGAGATGGGTAGGTAGTGAAAAGAGCAGTGAGAAGGAAGGGTATTGGGAAACGTCGTGAACGATGCCGTGGACAGGGCTGTAAAAAGAACATTAGATGGCGCATTGAGTGGAGCCATGGACAAAACAGTGAAAAGAGCAGTGAACAGAGTATTGAGCAAAGTATTCATTATTCATACAAGTGCTCTGATGCACTCTTTACCAAACAAAATTAACGAGGCTCAGAATAGAATAAAATTGAATTAAATCGCTTAAAGTAACACAACACCCTCTCCGTCTACCACGTCTAAACACACAATCTCCAATTGTGATACCAAGATTTAATTCCAAAATCTTTGGTAAATTTTTTGAAACCTTTCGATTTCCTTCCTTTATTTTACTGATAGTTTCGAAATTTGAAATTATCTACTGCTAACTCGATAAATCCAAATCCTGCGGTTCTCTCGAGTTCTCGATACCTCTCAAATCCGCAACAATGACCCACCAAATTGTAGATGGATTCGACTCAGGTTACCTTGACCCCGACTATACGCGTTTGCAATTGCAGAATCAAGGTTTCCCCGTTGTCGACAACATGCTCCACCACAATCAAATGCATGATGGTGGCTTTCAGGTTGACGTCAATATGTTCTCTCAAGATCATATGGCAGATGGAGGTTACCACATTGACGACAATATGATTTCTCAAAATCACATGAACAATGGAGAGTATGCAATCGGCGACGATTTCGAGATGACTGACGCACAAACTATTGATGGTATCGTCCCTGCCGATGGCACATTTTCTTCTCACGAAGAAAATAGAGTATACGTAGCTGACAACGACATCGAAATGTCAGATGAGGGCATGATGAATGAGGGCATGATGGACGATGTCATCTCTGCCGATAACGCTATTTCTCCTCAAGGAGAAGATGGAGAGAACAAATTCGGCGATGATGCTGATGACAACGCGATCATTGCTGCACCCGCTCCTAATGACCACATGAATCAGTGTCGCATTATGTTCCTCGTAAGTCAAAGCCTCATGATCATGTTTGCGTCTTTGTCGAGGACAATCACTAACTTCCAATGAAACAATAGGCATTTAACCCTCCTCCCACTGTCCCAATCGACCCAAGCCAAAGAAATCTGTTGCAGACCGCTCCTATCGAAATTCGACACATGATATATGAACTCTGGCTACCGGGACCAAGAACCGTAAGCTTCGACTTGATCAACTCACCAAGGGGCAGTCGGCAACAAGAGTATGAATTCAAAATCCCAGCTATCTTTCAAGTAGATAGTGACAGTCGAGCATTCTGGAAGATGAAGTATATTACTGTATACAAGCCTCAATGCCCTCAATACAGAACGATGATCAAGTTCTACGGCACTCGCAACCCGATGCCCTTGATCTTCAACCCTAAGATCGACACTGCGTCGATTACCTTTCTCAATAAAAGACCACAATGGGGATACAACGAATCTCAAGAATGGTTGCGATATGTCGATAATTTATTGCCCAATGGATTATTGGCTCGTGTCAAGTTTTTAGATATGCGCGAAGTCTCCACTGAAGGTCCAAGTCTTGTTGATTCTGATTTGCAAGCATGTTTCTTTCCCGCGCAAGTTTGGAATGGCGAATTATGGAAAATGTTCAGAGGGGTAGAAAAACTTTACTTCACAGCATCCAATGTGGGTAATCAGTGGAAACAAATGTTAAAAGAACCTGATTTTGCAAGATTTAAGGATTTTGTTCTCTCATATCGTGCCTCGGGTGTTGCTTTGGGTATACAACATCCAATTCCGGCCAACAACGTGGTGGTTAGGTCCTTTGTTCCGGCTTGAATGATGATGTCTGACATCAAGTGGATTATGGAAGATTGGTAGAAAAGATTGGTGGACGTCGGAGTATGCAGGTAGCGTGGAAGAAGAATAGTGGTACGAAAAAGCATTGTAGCAAACTTGCACGTTGGAGAGAGCTTGAGCAATAGAGACCGTAAGGATGCTGAGGATTGGCATGAATAGATAGATATATTATGGATGGGCAATGAGTGCAGGAAGATAGATGAACAAAAAATTTAGTTTCAATCCCAACATTAAAAATGTGTATTTTGCCTATTCTTCAAGCTTGAATTGAACACATTGCCACGTCCTGATCTGGAAAGATGATCCCTATGTATAAGTTACAGGGCTGATAGTTCAGCACTTGCTCGCAAAGTGAAAGTATCACAACTCATCACACTTTGCAACCATTATACCTCCAAACTACATGAAATTACTGTGAGTGGCAGTGTATTCAACATTTTGAATGAGTAGACTAAGCTCAAGCATTCAATATTTAAAAGATCTGGATGGTCTAATCGAATTCGGACACTTAAAGACACTTGATTCAGGATGCCACTAGTCCTTATATGACAGTTGAAGAACCAGGATTCAACTCTTCCTTAGACCTCAATCTGCTATTCACGAGAGAAGTAAGCACTAACTCACTCTTATTATTCTCATATTCTGCAGTTCAGCACTTGCTTGCCTAAAAGACAAAAAGCATCACAACTCATGATACGCAGAGATTGCCTGTTACCAGACTAGTTCCTCATCTCTGTCAGGTATCTTCAGCATCCAGGATACGAGATCCCGTTCATCTTTAGACCCCATACCCCAATCCACTGCCAGCAACAGAAAATAAGCAAAAAGCTCCTCTTATTCTTATGGGTTCTTCCTTCAAATCGTAGGGTTTGCAATGTCCCATTCTTTCGCCCCATCACCTGTGTTCACCCTGCAATCTTCTTGAAACATTTCATTTCCTTCTTCTCCGCCTGATCTCCTGGAAGCGGTTATCCTTCCTCTCTTCCTCTTCTCTCCTTCTGCAGTCAAGAATTAAGCATCCCATGCGCTCAGCAGTCGTTACTAGGATATCTTCGAATACGATATGCGAGCTCTCTCCATCTATTCCCCAATCATCCAGACCTCACTATCGCCCGAACTCTCAATCCCCCCGACTCTACTCATCCTCATAACCAGAATACTCTTTCACTCCCCTCCTCTTCTTTCCCCTTCTTTTTCAAATACCCGCTCCTCTCGAAAACGAACTCCACACCCATCCCATCACTACTTCATTCTCATTCCACAACTTTTGACCATCGTGCAGACCCAAACCCAAATCGATCTTTGATTGAACCTCCTCGCTCTCAATTATTCCTCCTCTCAAAAACGAACTTCGTACCCTTCCTGCCACATTCTATTCCTCATCCCATTCCATATGTTCTGCCCACCTCCTCATCCCATTCCATATATCCTGTCCCCCTTCCAAACCCAAATCCAAACCCAAATCCAATTCGTTCTTTCATCCTTCAACAAATACCCAACATCATCAAATAGACACCACCTATACCACACACTTCGTACCCCTGCTAAGCAATTCCATATAATCTCTTTTCCAGAAAGAACTTCCATCCCTCAAAACACATTCAGATAGTCCGTGGTAAGCTCCAAATAACTCGCATTCAAACATCCCATCCCATCCAATCCAAGAAATTCCACAAACTCCCCTAGGCCTCTTATACTCAAAAACCACATCATCATCATCATCATCCATCAACACAATCAACTTTCTCAACCCCATCATCACAATATCCATCTCCATCTCCATCTCCATCTCAATAAACAACTCTCCCCCTTCCCTCTAAAATAAATATCATCACAAATCAAACATCAAACATCATCGAATGTCCTTCAAAAGAATTCAAAGAATCAACTTTTACAGTCGTGGTTACATTGGGTGTAGTCAATTTACCTAAAATTACAATGACATTAAAATAATGAGCTCGGACCCCATTGTTCTAATCTAATCTCGGTCACGGGACTGGACTGGTTCTGGATTTGTCTTGCTGTGCTGTATTTGATCCAATCTGGATGTTTAGAGTTTTGTCCAAGACTCTAGTTAGATATCAAGCATTGATTTTTCTAAGAATTTGTATCATAGAATGAAATTGTTATGAAATGGCATTTATATATATGATTATCTATCCATCTAGGTACCTAGCTACCTACTCAATACAAGCAAATCAGAAGAGAAAAAACCTCAAACCATGAAAGAGATAATAGACAACCTTACGAAGACTCTGATTGATGGGATACTTAGATAGTTTTCTAGGAATTGAAGTAGTGTACTCAAACAGGATGAATGAGAATGCCTACAGTGAAATCAGGATTATAACTGTTTGTCTCAAGACTTTCATCACACTCTTCAATTCTCCAAGAAGCAGGATATTGGAATGAATGGGATAAATAGGATGCAGGAGATAGGACTTGTAATCACCTACCTACCTCCTCTCTCTACGTACTGACCTACCTACCTACCTCTCTATCTGCCTCTACCTATTTACCTGTACCTACCTCTACCAACCCAATCCAAGAAACTCCCCAAAGAGATGAATGACCAACCTTCAATCTTCAACCATAAACAACAGCCATCAAAAAAAAAAACTATCTATATACACAAAAGACATCGACTTCTGATCCTCCCTTTCTTGCACACTCTATGCAAGTTCATAATTCAAACAGACTATATGTAGTACAGTATAATACAAACTCACATGCACATCCATATCCATATCCATATCCACACATATACAATCTCCCCTCCCTCTCCTCCCTCTCATACCTAACACCTATCTACACAACTTTCCATTTCCATTTCCATTTCCATTTCCATTTCCATTTCCATTTCCATTTCCATTTCCATTTCCATTTCCACTTCCACCACACTACACAACACTACACAATACCCCCATCCATCCATCTCTGAGGGGTAAATATCGCAGTATTTCCGAGTGAGTATATCATATAGGTATAGGTAGTAAGTGATTATCCATCTGGGTAGATGTCATCTATTCAGGTACAGGTAATATCATCTATCCATCTCTGAAACCATACATCTACCTATCGATACCCATCCACATACCTAGCATTCAAATGATCTGAATATCTAGATATCTTAACTTATTTCATTGAATCATTCATTTATTTATTCATAACTATCGCTAAGCTAGGCTGAGCTGACCAGTTGAATTGAGTATATAATCAAAACTAGCGAGAAGCAATATGCTGTGATTAGCTAGTAAATAGTAGCTGGTAACTGGTAGCTGATAGCGACCTAGTCATAACTAGAAGTAGGTATTCCACCTTATCCCACCTTCCTAATACCCGACACCTGACGCCTGACGCCTACACGTGCTCATAATATCTCATTGAGGAGTAATGATGAAACCATCACACTCTATCCTGACATCGGAATATCCTTTCCAATTGCTATGCCAGGGGTTCCAGTTCCCGTTCCCATTCCCGGGGTGCCCACCACTGGTGGTACATTTCTCTCACCACCTCTCAGAAACTTTTCGGGTACTCCTCTCGCTGCCACATTGGCATTCCCGACATATGCACCGAGTAATTTACTCCATCGATATTCCCCTCTTAATAATTTCTGGATCTCTTTATATGCATACGAGTTTACATATGGTAAACCTGTTTTTGGATCGCGGAATTTGGCGGGGTAGTGTGTTATTGCACAGAGGGTGCGTGGAGGGTGGATTTGTGATTTGGTTTTTGCTAAGGGATGAGGTTAGTAAGGGTGTAAGGGAAATATATAATAGCTGGAGAGGGTAAAGTAAAGGTTGCAAGTGAAAGTAGACTGGGCGAGGAGGGCTGAAAAACTTACTAGGAGCTTTAGGAAATGTTTGGTTGAAAAGGATCCTTGTCTGTACATCTTTATTCTTAATTTCATCATCATTAAAATTGGTAAGAATCAAGCAATTCCTCAATGAGTATTCCGTGACAGGTGGTTGTGGAGGAGGTGGTGGAAGAGGAGCCGAGGCCGGAGAATAAGGCGAGTAATGCTGAGAAGGGGCGAAAGAGAAAGGAGTTGTTTGAGAAGGCACTAGACGAGGATAGTTTGTATTTGGAGGTTGAAACCCGGGGAGAGGTTTGGATCCATCGAGGGATGGAGGTTGAAGGAAGAATGGAGGGACAGTAGAAGGAGCTTGGAGGGGGATGAATGGAACGGCGTGGTTGTGGGATTGGGGGAGTTGCAGAGGTCCGTTTATATGGGGAACGGCACCGGTGGTTTGTTGAGGTGGTTGAAGTCCACTTATATTTGGTACGACTCCGGATGTTTGGTTCGGTGGTTGAAGAATGCTGGTCGATGGTGGAATAGTCGGCGGTTGTGGTGGTTTGAGAACGCCAGTAGGTTGTGATTCTGGATGGGGAGGAGGATGTAGAATGTTGTCTGATATTGATTCCTGCTTTAACGAAATTCCATCTTTATTTACATCACTATTAGTGACTCCAGAAGCGGTTCCAGGTGTAGAGTCCTTTGCATCGCTAATTGGCGTATCGTTTGTAGCCGAACCAGGAGTGGCAGCTCCTTTCAAAGTAGATGGTTCTACAGACCCAGCTTCACTCTCATCCTCCATTTCTCCAGTTTTTCTCTTCTTCGACTTTTCCTTGGGTTCATCCGGTTTGAGTTTCTTCGATCCCAGTGCAATTAATTTCCCTCCAACCCACATCGCACGTCCACTCCACCAAGTAATAACAGGCCCGTCCAATTTCCTATTATGCAATGCCGCCAACTTTAACCTCTGTTCTTCTTCCCTTTGTTGTTCTGCTTCTTCCCATCTACTTAGACTCTTGGAATTGCTCTTCTCTACCCTTGCAGCTTCTGCCAATCGATCTTCCTGCGTCATAGCCGGTTTCCTTGCGGCTTCCTTTGCTGCAGCTGCCTTCTCCATGTTGGCCAATTGCTTTAACCTCTTCTTTTCCCTATCTATCATCTGCGCATGTAATTGTTC